AGCACTTTGAATACTTGTGGATATCAGTATTTTTTGCAAAATTTTTTGTGATGAGGGGTGGAAGACTCAATAATCTAAGTGCACAAGGATACATTCTTAAAAATCAGTTGAATACTACCTCCACGTAAATCCTGGCATAAAGAAAGGAGAAGGACATGAAAAGCCACCCCTAGCTGAAGGGTATTGACAGCTGCTAGGAGGAAGAGTCAGTTTTCTTTAACAGTGGGTGTTGCCCCTGGTAGGTTGTTCATGCTCCAGTGGATAAACAAAACAAAGTGTATATCGACAGAAAAATTGGACTTACTGGATTCTTTTTTCTTTCTTTTTGATTCTCGAGACAGGGTTTCTCTGTAGCTTTTGGTTCCTGTACTGGAACTAGCTCTTGTAGACCAGGCTGGTCTCGAATTCACAGAGATCCACCTGCCTCTGCCTCCCGAGTGCTGGGATTTAAAGGCATCCACCACCACCACCTGGCCTTACTGGATTCTTGATGGAGGAAGGTCATTGGTTAAATAAAAAGAAACTGCTTGGCCCTCATTGGTTAGAAGATAGGTGGGAGGAGTAAACAGAACAGAACGCTGGGAGGAAGAGGAAGTGAGCTCAGACTCCACAGCTCTCCTCTTGGGAGCAGATGCCTCAGAGAGACACCATGCTCCCGGCTCTTGGGCAGACGCACGTGATGAAACTCCCACCCAGGATGGACATAGGCTAGAATCTTCCCAGTAAGCACACCTAGGGGCGCTACACAAATGATTAGAAATGGGCTAAATGAATATGTGAGAATTAGCCTAGAAGAGGCTAGATAGAAATGGGCCAAGCAGTGATTAAATGAATACAGTTTGTGTGTTGTTATTTCGGGCATAAGCTAGCCAGGCAGCCGGGGTGCTGGGGACGCAGCCCCGCCGCCCTTATTACTACAGATTCTTAAACAAAGAGGGCACAATTTGGGAGGGTAGGGAAGGAGGGGCCAGTCTGGAAGAAGCTGAGGAATGGGAGTAAATATGATTAAAACACATTGCATGAACTTCTCGAGGAACTAATAAAAACCAATAAGAAACAGAGTAACCATCATCCTTCATTCCAAAGAGCATTGGATAAGAGGCAAAAGTAGCTGCTTATTGCCTTTCCAAAGGGAAAAAAATGAGCCAATAGGTAGGTTTATTAGAGAGGCAGAATTAAAATCAGTACAAGAAAATATGTTATGGCAATGTGAACTGCCTATCTGGGAGGAAACTTCAGTCCAAAGAAGGGAACTATTTAAGATGTCAAGAGGAAGATAGGGATAGTGAGGGCTTCATTCCAGGTACTAGGAAAGGTCTGATCAGCAAGAGATATAATGACAACAACAAAATTACAAGGATATGCAACACTTGTCTTGAGCTGCCTTCTTTACAACTCTGAAACCTGGACAATGAAATACTCCTCAGAACAGTGACTAAGTGTGTTTAAGATCGCATATCTCAGGAGGATTCTAGGCATCACAAGAAGAGATAGGCTATGCAATGATGACATTAAGAAACATCTCCAGCTATAGAAGGAAGTCAACACAAGATATGGCAACGGCGCTTGAGATACTTGGACCATGTTATGAGAATGAATGATGGAAGATACACAAAGATAGCACAGCTTGGAGGAGTGCAAGGGATAAGGCAAAGAGTAAGGCTCCCAAAAACGCTGGATAGACAACATAAAAGAAGTCTGTGGAACCTTGGGTATGACAATAACACAAGCATCTAAGACTGTCAAGGATAGGAACAACTGCAGAACTACCATAAACGGGCTGACCGTGCATGTTTAAGCATTGTTAAGGCACAGATGATGATGATGATGATGATGATGATGATGATGATGATGATGATGATGAACTGTCCAGAAAAGAGGTCTTGTCAATGGCTGTGGGAATGTGATGAATTCATATTGGAAAGCCATTTCAAGATTCTATCCAAGTTCTCTTCAATCTTTAGCATTTTATGATCTCACAACTTTTTTTTTTTTTTTTTGGTTTTTCGAGACAGGGTTTCTCTGTTGTTTTGGAGCCTGTCCTGGAACTAGCTCTTGTAGACCAGGCTGGTCTCGAACTCACAGAGATCCGCCTGCCTCTGCCTCCTGAGTGCTGGGATTAAAAGCGTGCATTAAAAGCGTGCGCCACCACCGCCCGGCTAACTTTTCATTTTTTTGAAGGTAAAAGAATTTAAGCTGATTTGAAACAACTTTATAATGACCCAAAGACATTTAAATGATATCTCTGAGAGAACACATAAAACCCTGCCTTGTTCTACTGAGGAATGAGCAGAGTCATCAGAAGAAAAACTCAAGCAGGACAACATAGCTGCAAATGATCCATATTTATAGTTCTCTTTAATCCCACACCATCACAAATATATTTTCAAATGCACATGCTTCCACATTTTGAAATATCAGTCCTATCTCCAGTGATAACAGCTCAATAATTTTCATTTTAAACAAAAAGCAGTGACAGATAAGTCAGAAATAGAGGAATTAAAAAATATGAAGTCAGCCTCTACTGTAACATAAATACGTCTGTGGGAGAGAAGCAGAGTACACATACAGCCCTGTGAGAGGTTCAAACACCATGGGGGTGCTGGGAGATCTACAAGTTGGCCTCAGTGGAAATTGTTTCTTAAGAACTAAAGAACTTAAACTGCTTCATATAATAATGATTCTATATAATGCTAGCTGGGGATACATATAAATAATATCTGTGAATTTTTATTTCTTTCTTCCTTTCTTTCTTCCTCCTCCCTCCCTCTTACCCTCCCTTCCTCTTTCTCTCTCTCTCTCTCTCTCTCTCTCTCTCTCTCTCTCTCTCTCTTTCTTTCACTTTTCAAGACAGTTTCCCTGTAGCTTTGGGACCTGTCCTGGAACTAGTTCTTGTGGACCAGGCTGGCCTCAAACTCACAGAGATCCACCTGCCTCTGCCTCCCAAGTGCTAGGATCTGCTCGACTCCTGTGATTTTTTTTCTTAAAAGTAGGAGATGGAGGAGGATGGGAAGTGGGGGAACTTCTGTTAAACAGTCTGCCACAGACTGCTTTGTTGACAGCAACCCTGTGAGAACTACAAAGTGAAGTCATGACACGGCATGAGCATTGTTCAGTCACTGCAGCCAACCACGGCTGCAGGCACAGAGCCTCAGTGTACTCTATCTTTGAAGGGAAATAATTCAAAATTATAACCATGAGATAAGCTGAAGAGGCAGGGAGAGTACTGGTTCTATACAATAACTATCAGTATGGTTTCTGAAACTGCCAAGAAAAGCAAGACAAATGTAAATTGGAATATGGAGTTCCATCTCATGGCAATTTTCTTGTGCGATCAGGAATGAGCTAACTCATAAACACTTCAAATTTGCATGTTTTAAACTTGTAAATGGGTTTTTAAATATATAACCATTACTTTAAATGGCTATATAAGAAATTACCAAGAAAGAAGGAAACAACAGATCACTAAAGGGCATATTACAAATCATGGAAATAAACCATATGCTCACTTAAATAAAACTAAACTTGCTCAGTTAGGAAGAAACTCACCAAATGTGCTCATTTCTAGGCTAACCACATAGAAGGAAAAATTTCTATCCATCATGCCCTGTGTTTTTATTAGTTGAAAGATACTTTAATTACTGCTTCTATCTCTTGGTTGTTGAGTCAACTTATTTACCTCACTATGATTCAACTTTGTTAGGTTGTGTGTATACATAAATTCAAGTTTAATCAAATATAGATGTTTAAAGTAGGTCCTTTTTTATCTAGTCATAGCCATTAATGTTTATACCAAAGATATAAGGAAGAAAATTTTTACAAGGTTTTGTAGACAAATATGTTCATTTTTCACTCTTAAGTGATAGTTTAGCAAGGTATAAAATTATAAAGTAGCTCTTTCCTTATCACCTTGAATATTGTTTCCTGGCATCTGTTTGACAAACGGAGTGTCTTCTAACAAAATATTATTATTTGAGCATGATGCCATGAATCTGCAACCCTAATACTGGGTAGAATTGGGATAGGTGGATCTCAGTGGACAGTAAAATTCCATACCCAGTTAAAGACCTAGTCTCAAATTTAAGGTGATTTTAATAAAGACATTTAAGCACAGTCTCTGGCTTCCATGTGCCTAGATATATGGGCAAGTTCATTGGCGCGCGCACACACACACACACACACACACACAGACAGCTGGGTCTATTATATGTTTCTTTTATGTTTGTATCTACAACTGTTTAGAACTGACCATTTGGTATTGGACTCATTTAGAATTGTCATCTTTGAAGACTAATTCTCTCTCTCTCAGGAGTTTTAATTCCCTATAGCTCTTCATCTAATAGTAGGTTCTTATAAGATTTCCTCCATCCTCATTGGAATGTCAACTGGTGATATTATTATCCAGGTCCTGGTTTGACATACTGTTGATGTGTCATGCCTAGAAGATACTATCCACAGCATGCAGCCTGGTCCTCCATCTCTTACAGACTTTCTGTCTCCTTTTCTGTGGTGATCTTTAAGCCTTAAGTTTAGGGTTTTTATTATAGAGGTACCAACTGGGGCTATCTAATCTCTCATTATGTTCAGTTTTGGATTTCTGTAATGACCTCTGCTGCAAAAACAGAATCTGCTTTGATGAAGGTTTAGAGATAGACTTATCTGTGGGTATAATAATAATATAATAATTAGAATACAATCTTGTTGGAGGAGGGCCCACTTTGTTGCAGGAGGTCCTTCTGCTCCTCCAGCCAATAGCTGCTGAGATACCAGCCCATTGGGGCATGATCTCTCTCCCTTTAAAAAAGGGGCCACTTCCCTTCTACCTCTCTCTTACTTCCTGCTCCACTTCCAGCAACTAGACTCCCTTCCTAATTGTGCAGAGGGCTGTTGTCGAGGACGGTGATCTGTAAGTTTTTTCCCCTTTAAATAAATAACCATTCTATTAATCATAATTCTAAACTGGTGTGGGATTGTTTTTGACTTACGCCTTCACCTTCATCTGCCCCACGTGGGGCTCGAACCCACAGCCCTGAGATTAAAAGTCTCATGCTCTACCAACTGAGCTACTTGGGAGGCAGACGGTGATTGACCTCTTTGACTTCAAGGTGTGGTAGCATACACCTTTAATCCCAATGCCTGGGAGCCAGAGACAGGCTGATCTCTGAGAGTTCAAGGACAGATTCCTGGAATAACTCTGGAATAACAAAGATATACAGAGAATCTGTCTCAAAAAGTAAAAATAAAAGGAATAGAGGTTAAAATAAAGCCGCACAAAGATGGAAAATACACAGAGAATCTTAATACTGTACGCTAATATGCTCTCTATGAATTGTTTGAATGCTGAGGAAAGAACAACAGCTACTAAAAGATATTCGTTTACTAATGCTGCTGAACTAATCCAATATAGATCTTTTAAAAATACCTTGATTTCAGAATTTGGATCTAAGGATATGATACTTTGGAAAAGAGATTCTTATTTTGTTTTCACAGAGGATGAAACCCTGTGGATTGCTTCTATCCCAATAAGGTATGATGGACCACGTCCCCTGAAAGGTTACTGTGAACACCCTCAAAAAATCACTTCACTCAATTGACGACCGAGATGAACTTAGCACACAGGTTATACCCTGAAATACCTGATTAACAGCACCCCCATTCAGCAGGAAGCAGTTTGGATAGAAATAACTGCGCCCATGTTCCCATATATTGTTTATAAATGTTCTTTTACATTTAAAAGGGGAGATGATATAGGTATAAATAATTTGCATTGATATGGATTTTGCTTTAGTGATTTAAATTTAAGGTCAATTTTGTTATATGTATATGTGTTTCTGATCTTGATTAAGGTATTGTGATTGTGTAGTTCATTTAAAAATGTAATGTATATAGGTTGTTAATAGATAATCATTAATAATAGTCAAGTTTGTAGTCATGTTAGTTAGATTTTCTAGATATATAGAGATATATTTCAGTTAGATCAGCATTCTTCATATCTTTCAAAGACTACGGAATATGATATTTAATGTTTTAATAACTTAGGGTTTTTCATGACAATGAGACATGTCTGCTCTTGGAAACACCAATCTACTTCAAGAAGAAGATGGGCATCGAAGAGTATCCTTATGGAGTTTGATAGCTATTTGGGCAAGAAGCTGTTCTAGCCTGGATTATTGTATAATCTCTGGACACAGAGAACCCACAGAGAGAAGACTACTGAGCTTGCCTAAAGGTGAGATGATCTTTCGGGGTTTCTGATTCATGAAGGAGTCTGCAAGACATTCTGCAGGACACAACAGATAGTGACTGAACTGACTTTGAAATTTACTGCTTCATGGAAATGTCTCTGGATACTATGGGCCTGTAGGCTGAAGATGGATGCCCCAACAGTACAGAGAAACTTTGGGTGACTGTCCAGGCAATGAGATGTCCCTGTCATTTCTTGAGGTTGGAAGTTGCTTATTTCTTGTTTGTTCAGGTAATATTATAACCTTCTGGAGTCTTTGATGGAGTTAAAGAATATATAGATAGTTATAGTTGGTTTCCTTTGTTATGATAAAAGATAAAATAGATGTAAATATTGTAACTGTAATTCTTGCTTGATAACTGTTTTGTTATATGTAATTTTGCTGTGTTAAAGTTAAAGCCTTCCTTTTTTTTGTTTAAACAGAAAAAAGGTTATTGGTTATTAATAAAGAAACCGCTTGGCCCTGATAGGTTAGAACATAGGTGAGTGGAGTAAACAGAACAGAATGCTGGGAGGAAGAGGAAGTGAGCCCAGATGCCATGCTCCCCTCTCCCAGGCAGACGCGATGAAGCTCCGACCCAGGATGGACGCAGGCTAGAATCTTCCAGGTAAGTGCACCTTGGTGCTACACACATTATTAGAAATGAGCTAGTCCAAGTGCGAATGTTAGCCAAGAAGAGGCTAGATATAATGGGCCAAGCAGTGTTTAAAAGAATACAATTTATGTGTTGTTATTTTGGGGCATAAGCTAGCCAGGCAACCAGGAGCTGGGGTGGCAGGAACACAGCCTGCAGCTCCTACAACACCACTTGTTCATTCCAGTCACTTGACTAGTTTAGCCCTGAAATAACCACACAAAAACTGTATTAATTAAATTGCTGCTTGGCCCATTAGCTCTAGCTTCTTATTGGCTTAGTCTTATATCTTAATTTAACCCATCTCCATTAATCTGTGCATCACCACGAGGTCATGGCCTACCAGCAAAGTTTCAGCATGTCTATCTCTGTTGGCCCCATGACATCCCCCTCTCTCCCTTCCTTCTCCCAGTATTCAATTCAGTTTTCCCTGCCTACCTAAGTTTTGCCCTATCAACAAGTCAAGGCAGTTTCTTTATTCATTAATGCTAATTACAGCAATAGAGGGAACCCCCACACAATCAGAAATTATATTTATCTAGGAAACTAGCAGTAGTGGTTTCTCCTTTAGGCCCAATAACCACAGTACTAGAATACAGTACCAGAAATTAATTTCCTTCTACTGAGTGGCCTTAATACGTCTGGAAATCTGTCAGACCATGTACAGGACAGGCAGGAGACAACACAAGAGGAGGCTAACATTAGATGAAATTCATGGATACCTGTTTTCCTCTAATTAAATCTAAGTTTCATATCAGTATCTCAAAGATAGACTTGGGGAGAGAAAGGCCTTCTTTATTTATTTCTTTTCCCAATATAGCTACTTTGAATAAATCTTTATCTTCTTTCCACTAGTACTTATCTCTTTAATTGATTGAATGAATTCATGTGGCCAAATTGCTCAAATCCAGCTCTTAGAACTTATAGGGTCTACCCTCTGAACCTAACAACTATGACAATAGTGTCAGTGATTAAACAAAGAACCGTCTACATCCTAGGTAAATGCTCTACCACTGAGTAAGCCTTACTGTTCCATAACTTGCCATGGGTCTGAGACACTCTTGATTTCATTTTGTTTTTATATTGTTTGCCATTGCCCAAATTAATTCTACTTCATGGAATTGGTTTAAGGACTTTGTTCGTTATAATAATCTACAAGTAAATTCTGCTTGACAGAATTGGTTTAAGGAGTTTGTTCATTATAATACTCTACTTTCTGGACAATTGTGTCCCTCTACTATTTTTTTTTGCTTTCTTTTTTTGTTTACTTATTTCAAGACAGAGTTTTTCTGTGTAACTGCTCTGGCCATCCTAGAACTCACTCTGTAGACCAGGCTGCCCTTGAACTAATCATGGAAAGGGACTGTAGAAGAAAAGCAATTGACTGAGCACACCTCAGTAACAAACCTAACCATAAAACTCTAAGTGCAGTAAATTAGATTAGTAATATTAAGGAGAAAATGTGGTTTCTGAGTTTGTATGTTAGTGTACTGGACAATAAACAATGTATGAGTTAGACTGACTGATAACTTCAGACATGCACCTAAATAAGTGCAGCTGAGCAGCTGAGGCTCTCACCACCAGCCAGCCTCCTACTGAGCATGGTTTATGGGCAGAAGCCCATTCTAAAGTCATCAGGGGTTACATTTTTGCCAATTAAATGTAATTAGGTTATTACTTCCTTAGTAGGTTGATATAAACAGTGAATTAACTAATATTGAATATATATACATGTAAATATATATAGTCTCTTCAGTTTTGACTATGAGAAAAAGAAACAAATCAAAGAATCAGAGAGTATTTCAGCCACAAAGACACTGTCAGTAGTCTCTGTTACAGTCCATGAAGTTATAATACAGGGTCAACTCAGCTGTAGTTCAAGCAGGAAAGAAAACAGTAATACTGATAACTCTGGAGGAATCTTAACCTTTTTCCCCCTCTGGGATCAAAATCTCTAGAAATTGAAGAAGAAAAATTGTCTCCTGGTGAAAATATTCCCTCTTTGTTTGTGCCCAGTCAAATTTACAGAAGAATATATAACAAGTCCCTTTGGGATATTATATCCACTTTCTTGACTCCTGAACATGTTCCCCACAGTGGCTGTTGGTCTTATTATCTGATCTTATTTTATGAATTATACCTCTTGTGGAGCCTTGTGCTACGCGCGCACACACACACACACACACACACACACACAGTTGTTTAAAGGAACAACATTAAGCAAGCATGGAGATGATTCCAACTTCCTTTAAATACTATTTAATCTATTTTGATAGCAGTGGGTAGGGATGTTTTGAAGATCTTAAAATGATAATAAACAAAGTGATTGCATTACATTGAAGACATCTTGACTTAGAAGTCGTTGTATTGATTCTTGGATATGGGATCACGGACGCCAGTGAGCGAGGACAACGTGAGTTCTCTCACATCTTGTCATAAACGTTTCTCGGGGGCAAACCACAGATAAGAACAGTGGCAGCCCCTTTTTAATGAAAGGGCCAAGCTCCGGTGTGTGTGGTGGTTGTCTTCTCCACCTCTTTCCAAGGTTTCAGCATATGTTAGAGGTGACTGAGCTACCAGGAAAATGAAGTCATCTCATTTGAGAGAAACTCCATCTTGAGGATTTGCTCAGAAGGAAAGAATTTCCACACTACCAGCTTCTTCTTTCTCTCACGCTTTATCAAACACATCTTCATTTTGAGGAAAGTTCCTTACATAATCTGAACTTTATTTATTATGCAATTTCAGATTGGGTGAAAATCACAACTAAAAAGGTAACTATTACTGTCGATTCTTTCTAAATCCTTGCTATTAATAGACTTAGCTACCAGGACAATCTGAAACTATCAACCCTTTAGATATACGTAATGTGGGTAATTTTCTTCAATGGTGCTGCACTTCTTATTAAAATTGTTAGAAAGATTAGCTCTTTGAGATATTTGCTCATAAAGATTTCCATTTCCTCATGAAATTACTGGAGCAATGAGTTAATGGCACAAAACAAAGGCACCCAGGAGGATTTATTTTTGAATGTGAAACTCCTTTTTGTGAGGGGAAGAAGCAGGAAGATTACTGGGTGTTTGTATCTTTCAACGAAAGGGTTATCTGTGCTGCAAGAAGGGTTATCTCGTACACCTGTCACCACAGCATGTAGCGGGTTGCAGTGCATGGTCAGCAAATATCAATGGGTTTTTACAGTTTGTGCTTCTGCCAATAATTAATTAGCATTGACTGTACTTTTTATGAGACTCTACAGTCATCATATGAAATTTTAGAAATATTTTACCATGAAGATAACTTACCAACTTACCAACATACTCTAAATTAAAATTAAAAGTAAAATTGTTTTGAACTTGAAAGTAACATTTTATCTTCATTGCTTCAAAGATTGTAGAAATATTGTATTGAAATAATCACTTTTCCATACCTTGGACTAATTGAATTCTTTAGTTGAATTAGCATCCTACTTCATCTTCTCCAGTGATGTAGGAATCTTTCTTGAATAAATGGTCAATGAATCTCTTATGTAAAAGACCAACTGGAATGAATTTTAATTTAAAAATCCCCTTTGTGGGAGATGATTCCAATAGTCACAAATATAATTCATGGACTTAGATAATATTGGCTCTCAATAATTTCTTGTAATTGGCTTAAAGCAAAACAAAAATGTATTCACTCTTGTTTATTAAACCTTTCAAATATTAAAATGTATCTGAGATATATTGAGAGGAACTAAGCTATAAATTTTTCTGATATTTTGCTTTAAATGTGAAATTCACATGAATTCTGGACTAAAGAATGGTATAGAGTTAAGCAAACAAACAGCAGCAATGGTTTAAAAGTTGCAGTTCAAAGCTTGTGATTTGCTCTCTTCTGTTGAAAGGGTTTTAAACATCTGAACAGCTGCAAAAGACAATACCACTTGGATCATAGAAAAATTTATTTACACAGCAGATTATTTAAATATGAATCTACAGTGAAAACCTAAGCTCTAATCTTTGATTCAGATCAACATTTTCATCTAAAACTTAAAAATATCATTAAATTATCTACATGGCATTTTTATGAATGAAACTGAATAGAATAGGCCAAAATAAAAGCAATTATGACACGTGAACTGAATGATATTAGGATCCAAGAAAATACATACATTTATATGTGTGCATTTTGAGCATTGCTACATAGACATTTCTTAAGCAGGATGTTGGGGGAGATGACAGAACTTTCTGAGTGTGAACAGGAAAGTTTATGTGCATAAGGTGAAGCATAGACTGTAACAGAAGCAAAGATAACTCTGTTCTGACCCCAGGCCATCTGTGTGGGCATAGAGGAAAAGACAGTGGTCCCTAACATAAACTTGGCTGGAGTTATAACAAACTTACAATCTCTCTACATCATTCGAGTTTGTACTATGAAGTCATTGCTGTAATACATGCCAGTAAAGATCAAAATTATAACATACTTTGCATGTGTAGAAAAGTTTGATGCTTCTGTCATTGGCATACATACCCCTCACCCTCATTCCATACACAGCATACATAGACACACCTGTCTGCTGCAATGGAACCATACATCCACCATCATAATGGGAACTTATTAACATGTTTTAATGAAAATTGCTTTGAACTTGAAAGTAATATTTGCTGGAAAATGTAATACAATATTAGCATTTAGCTTACAGAATGTATGTTTTTTTCTGATTCATTTGGAATATACAACAATTTTTAGCAGGTCAAAGATATCATGAAGGATTTTCTGAACAACACTCAACATGATATGCAAAGATCCATTGTTTAAATACCTACCTTGAACATTCACACTGTGTTCAAACTTGGTGAGTTTCCTTGTCTCTTTCACAGGGAAATGGGGAATCAGACTTCGGTTACACAGTTCATTCTTCTAGGATTTCTACTCAACCGAAGGTTGCAGAAGCTCCTCTTTACCCTCTTCTCCCTGTTCTATGCCTTCACCCTGCTTGGGAATGGGACAATTGTGGGGCTTATCTGCCTGGACTCGAGACTCCGTACTCCCATGTACTTCTTCCTGTCTCACTTGGCCATCGTTGACATTGCTTATGCCTGCAACACAGTGCCTCAGATGCTGGTGAATCTTCTAGATCCAACCAAACCTATCTCCTTTGCTGGATGCATGACACAGACCTTTCTCTTTTTGGCCTTTGCACACACAGAATGTCTCCTCCTCGTGGTGATGTCCTATGATCGGTATGTGGCCATCTGCCACCCCCTCAGATATACTGCCATCATGAGTTGGAGAATTTGTATTATCCTGGTGGCAACTTCCTGGATTCTAGGAGTTCTATTGGCCCTGGTACATCTCATATTACTATTACCATTGCCCTTCTGTAAAGCTCAAGAAGTAAATCACTTTTTCTGTGAAATTATAGCTGTTCTCAAACTTGCCTGTTCAGACACCCACATCAATGAGGTCATGGTTTTGGCTGGGGCTGTGTCTGTGCTTGTGGGACCATTTTCTTCCATTGTGGTCTCTTATGCTCATATTCTGTGTGCCATCCTGAAGATCCAGTCACGCCAGGGGCGCCAGAAAGCCTTCTCCACCTGTGCCTCCCATCTCTGTGTTGTCGGACTCTTTTATGGTACAGCCATTGCCATGTACATTGGCCCTCAACATGGGGATGCCAATGAGCAGGAGAAATATCTCTTGCTATTCCATAGCCTTTTCAATCCTATGCTCAATCCACTGATCTATAGTTTGAGGAACAAAGACGTCAAATGTGCTCTGAAGAGGATGCTCACGAAGGAGGATACTTCTCGAGAGCATTAAAGAATAAAGACCATGCAAAGATCTTAGAATTACTTCCATTAAGAATTAGACAGAACAATAAACTTGTTCAAAAGCTTCCTTTCCATTTTCTCACAGGAGACTTCTTGCACCTGTCAAGAACCTCCCTGTGTTTTATCTTCTCTAGCTTTGAGAATGGAGGAGCACAAGCAACCCAAACATCCACGTGCATGGCAGTGAACAGGCTTTTAATGTGGTTGAAAATGAGCATCAGTCTCACCCAGATACCAAACCTGCGAGTTGCAATAGCAACCAGCCTGAAAGATGTACCCACTGGTACAATAGTGGCACAAAACGCTGATTTGGTCCTGGCAAGAAATGTTGGCTAGGATCTGCTTAAAGATGAACACATGAAAATAGAATGGGCTGGGAGTGAAGTGGTAGACAAGATGGAAAACTAGGCACTATTTGGGGACCAAATAACTATAAAGAATCAATAGAGGGGAGAACTTTTATTTTGCTGAAGAAGCCTAAAGAATCTGTTTATCTCAGCAAAAGATCACAAGCCAGTAACTCACGTGAGCATTCTCAGAATAAGGTATAAAACATTTTACCACACCTTCTCCCAACCAGTGGGTCTCACCCTCTCTCACACACTGAGAAACTTTGACCTTGACTTCTAGTAGATTGTTTAAATGTTGTTCTTTCTTGGACTTGATACAAACAGGATATAGGCCCCTCGAAGTGTTCATTGTTTTAATATACCCTCTCAATCACTGTTCTGTTTGTAAGATTTTTCATAGTTTGTGGAGGCATAGTTTGTTCATCTCTATACACATTACAACATATTGATTATATTTGGGGGAGATACTGGAACTGCCTACCATGTAAGCTGTAATAAACAATTTGTAAATGTTGTTATACACATCTATCAGAAGGTATCCGTGATCACTGTTTTTAGATATACAGCCAAGGAAGTACTGGGTAATGAATGTCCCAGACTTGGATCTTCTTTACTATGAATGTTAGACTGTCTGGATATGAAATTACTGTCATTTACTCATGAACTGGAATACCCTCACATTAAACAGGAATCGGTAATGCAATAACGAGCTGAATGCTGCTTCTACCTAGCTAAGTTTGTAGTCTAATAAGGGTGCTACTTTGGTATTAATGCTCAAAGATATATTAGGGGCTCATAAGCTTATCCAAGTTTCTTCTGAGCAGAACAAACAAAAATAAATCAGGCATTTGTGGCTGATTTCATCTTCTCAATGAACAACAACAAAAATCTGGGGTGCCAGTAAAAATGAAATTTAAGTTATAGAATTGTATGCTGGAGTAATGGAAAATTTAAACATTGAGGTTAACAATATCTTAGCCTCTTTTGATATAATAATAATCCTGGAGAATAAACGTGGGCCTTTCATGCATCAGGCAAACACTCCACCACTGAGATAGGCTCCTAGCTATAAGCCTCTTTTTAGTCTAAGTATATTTCCAAAAATATATATTAGATTTGGGTGAGGTTTGAGTATTTTATGCTAACTTTGATATCTCTGAGCCTATTCTAGGACCTGCCTAGTCTTCTGTCGTGGAGCATGTAGCTCTGAAGGTATGTTCTTTGATTATACTTTGTCAATATCAACTGCTTCGCTGTTGTGTCAGTCCCACCACAACCCTAAGTGATGTGGTGTACCTCTGTCCTCACATACAAGGTTCTTCTATTCTAATTGCAAGCATAGCAATTTCCTCTGAAGGCACTGCCTTGCTTTTCTGGCATATGCCCTGACAGCTGCCATCTGGGAGCCCATACCAAATTTCCTTCCCCAAAACAAGGAGGAAGTGAGGAGCTTGGAAAGGCCCTTCAAGTGAACCAAAAGCATTCCCATGTGTCCCTGCTGAATTTATTATGAAATGACTTCCTTTCTTGATGGTCCCACTCCAGAAATATAACTAGGGAATGGAGGGAAACATTTCCCATGCTTTCATGTCTGTTGTTATTATTTGTAGCAATACTATGACATTTAAAAGCATGAGAAACCTAACATGTAGATGCACCTAGTGTTGGTGACCATGCTTCAACAAGGATACCAGTTATCAGGGTAGTGGCATGTGGATTAGAAAAATAAGTAAAGAGTGCAAAGATACGAGTGAAATAATAAGCATAGGATAGTATCAGGAAGGAATTTCAATGAATACTAAAATTCACCTGCATTTAATTTTCCATACACTTTTATACCCCAGTACAACAGGGGAAAGAAAACAAAAGACTGCTTTAAAATGATATAAAGAACAATCAGAACAGTTATTTGCTTCAACACTTTATGACATAAAGTCATTACCATTCTGTTTGTTTAAGCAATGAACCCACCCTAGACCAAGTATCCTGAAGGCAGCCACTCCCAACGTCAGACCTTCTATTACAAAAGAAGAAACAGAAGTAGTAGGTTGAATTCTCTGATCTTGGTCAAGGTGTGTGTGTGGGGGGGGGCATCCTCAGGACAAAAACACCAAGTAACCACAGCCTAGGTCAGGGTGTGTAGCCACACTTGTCAACAACATCGAACAAGAAAAAACTCTCTGATATCCAGACAAGGTGAAAATAGGCACACATTTTTGGGCCTCTACAACCTAGCCACCTATTTTTTTTAATCTGTGTTCCTTTCCCTTATACTTCAGTGGAACTGAGGGACAGACTTCCACTCTTCCCAAGAATCCTGACTTTTCTCTACCAGTTGTGTCTAGAAACTTCAGTGGATCTATTAGCCTAGATCTCACTCTCTAAGTCAAATCAAGCCAGATACGTAAAAGTTTCTACAACAAAATCGTATTAATAATGAGGAAAAACAGAAGTGGGGCAAAAGAGTGGAGGGACAAAGTTCAAGAGAGACTCACTGAAAATAACCATACTTAGTGTGAAAAATAAAAGATTGCTTCTTGCATGGAATTGTCTTTGGGAGATCTTGTCAAATGTTTAATGTAGGGCAGTCCACTCAGACAGAACTAGAGAGAATAATTTCATTGCTGGTTGTTATTGTCCATTCACCAAAGATATGCCTGACTCCATTGGGTATTAATTATCATACACTGGAGGTAGCATATGCATTGCCATCATGGCCAACAGCTAGTATAAGACTCATGCCCAGGGGCCAAAAGAGATCCACAGATCAGACAGCAATATAAATGCTAGGTAATTGGAGGCAAGGTTCTGTTGGGTGATATTTGACTATGAACAACAGAACAATGGAGTGTAGAATAACTCTTTTTACTTATGAAACTGATTAAATTATTCCAAATTGAACTTTGTATTGTAGGGCTTATTTGTGAACAAGAGTATACTTATGTAGCTTCATGCCATGGTCACTTAGATTTAGCATCCTACCCTCTATGTATAGGAATGCATAAAGTTTAGAAAAGTCTGTTCTATTTCCCTGATTACCTGTTTACCTGTTTCTTTTCATTGTTTTCCACAAGTGTTGGAATGTTAATTCTCTAATATGCCAGTAAAAACCATGTCAAGCAAAGCACCTTCTTAAGATAAAATATTAGGAGCGCAAACTTTGGAAATCAGCATGGCGGTATCTCAGAAAATTGGAAATCAATCTACCTCAACACCCAGCAATACCATTTTTGTTCATATTCCCAAAGGATGGTCAACCATACCACAAGAATACTTGCTCAACTATGTTCATAGCAGCATTATTTGTAATAACCAGAACCTACAAACAACCTAGATGCCCCTCACCTGAAGAATGGATAAAGAAAATGTGGTACATGTACACAATGGAGTATTACTCAGGAGTAAAAAACAAGGACATTATGAAATTTGCAGGCAAATGGGTGGCACTAGAAAAAAACATCCTGAATGAGGTAACCTAGACTCAGAAAGACAAACATGGTATGAACTCACTCATAAGTGGACATTAGATGTAAAGCAAAGGATAACCAGACTACAATCCACATCACCAGAGAAGCTAGGTAACAAGGAAGACCCTAAGAGGAACACATGGGTTTCTCTGGGAGGGGAATTAGATGAGGTCTCTTGGGTAAACTGTGGGTGCGAGGCAGTAAAAGGAAAGGAGAACACAAAGACTGGGATGGTAGAAGTGCGAGATAGATGGAGTAGGGGAGCAATGAAAAAGGGATCTTGATAGAGAGGGTAATTATGGGGTTAGGGAAAGCCTGGTGCTAAGAAAACAACCAAGTATCCACAAGGATAACCCCAGCTAAGACTCCTCGCAATAGTGGAGACGTTGTCCTAAATGACCTTCTTCTATAATCAGATTGATGAATACCCCAACTATCATCATAGAGCCATCATCCAGTAACTGATGGAACAAACTCCAGAGATCCACAACCAAGCACCAGGCCTAGCTCCTAGAATCCAGTCAAAGAGAGCGAGGGGGTAATGTATGATCAAGGGAGGTCAAGATCATCATGGAGAAATCTACAGAGACAGCTGAACCAAGCTCATGGAAATTCATAAATCCTACACCAACATCTATGGAGCCTCCACGGGACCAAACTAGGCCCTCCATATGTGGAAGACAGCGATGAAGCTTGTACTATCTAAGGGGCCCCTGTCAGTAGGACCAGGATCTATCCCTGGTGTAGAAGCTAGCTTGTTAAAGCCCATTTCCGATGATGGGATGCCGTAATCAGCCTTAATAAAAGGGGAGTGGCTTAGTCCTTCCCCAAATTTATGTGCCAACCTTTTTTGACTCCCCATGGGAGCTCTTACTCATTGGGAGGAGTGGATAGGGGGATGGGCTGGAGGGGAACTTGGGATAAGGGGTAGGAGGGACAACTATGGTTGAAATGTAAAATAAAAAAATAAAAAATATGATATATATCTCATATAAAAATATTACCTATATAATTAAGCAAATGAATGTCATTGTAAGTGCATAATAATTTTAAAGCCAAGCAAGCTATGCTAAAAAAAAAAAAAAACAACTGTGCTTTCTTTTTGTGTCTTTACCAATTCTCAGCAATCACTGGTTGTGATGCCAGATACCATTGTTACAAAACTTTCAATA